AGATCTGCAGATTCCTCCTGTTTGCTTGGGGTTTGGAGGTGCCCAGATGAGGCACAGCTGTGAAGCAATGCAGGCTGCTGGTGAGCCTTAGGCCTTCTTTTGGAAGCTCTGGGGTTCTCTGACCCAGCTACAGTTTGACAGGTTTTTAGGTGGAGAAAGGCCAGGCCATTAGTATGCAAAAGCCTCTGCACAGAGCTTGGGTGGCATTGTCAATTGTGTGGGGCGAGGTCTCAGGGAATCACCAGGCGGTGCACACAGCAATGGTTGCCGTCAGCTCTGCCCCAGATAGGCCCCTGGGTCTCTGTGTCCCGTGGCCCCCTGCAGGAACAGTGAACGCTGCAAGCACCTCTGCGAGAAAGCCGCCCTCATGTTACGGCTCGATGCCAGACAGTTCAGTTTCTCTCCGTGTGAGTCTGGGTCCCCAAATTCTCACCCATAACTGGAGTTCAGAGCAGTTGGGAACTTGTATCTCCCTCCCGGTTGAAAAAGACAACAGCATACCCAGCTGCCAGCCCCTTTCGCGTGCCTCTGTACCTCCACACTTCCACACCTCTGCACCTCCTACCAGACTCTATGCGCTTTTCTCTTTCCTTCTAGTTGTAGAATTTCCACTCAGCCAGCCTTCCCATGGTTCTGGATGATATTCATTTTGTCTTTTAGTTGTAGTTTTAATGTGGTTGTATGCAGCAGCAAATTCAGGTGTTTACCTATGCTGCTATCCTGGTTCCCTATCTTGCCAATTTTTTTAAGCTGGGGTTGCTTTCTTATTTTTGAGTTTTGAGAGTTTTTTTTATAAATTCTGGATACAAATGCTCAATAGGAGTCATCTTTGCATGCCTTGTAATTTTCTGTTGGAATGCAGACATTGTGAATTCTATCTCATTGGGTACTGGGTATGTATTACAAATGTTCTTTACTTTTGTTTGGGGATGCAGTTAAGTTACTTGGAAATAGTTTGATCTTTATGGGTCTTTTGTAATTTATAGGCAGGCCTGGAAGAGGGCTCAGTGTGGGACAAGCTATGTCACAGGACTAAGGAAAGAGTTTCCCATGCCATATGAATTATGAATTTTCCTATCTATCTGGTGGGAGCAGGTACCTGTGTAAGTGCTCAGTGCTGTTCCAGCCTCATTGCATGCTCATCAGCAGGTGTCCTCTGGAGTGTGCAGGGACCTCTCCTGGTACCAGACCAGTATCAGGAGAGGTCCCTCTACAGCTCTCTGCAGCTGTCTCCTCTCGGTGCTCTGACCTGCCAGTTCCCGCTGCCTTGCTCTCCCTGCGCCCTCACCTCTGTCCCCTGCACCCCAGTCCATGGCTTCTGCCTGGGTTGTCCCTCCCTGTGCAGCCTGGACAGTCCCTCGGGGCAGTGGGTGAGCCTCACGAAGTTTGTTTTCCACCCCACAGGATCACTGTCTTTTGTTACCTGATGTCCATTGGTTTGTGTGTTATTTCTGTTTTTCTTTTTTGGTTATTTCAGGAGGGAGAGTAAATCTGGTCCCTGTTACTCCATCCTGATTGGAAGTGTAAATGTCCATTAATATTTTCTCATTTGAGTGTTAGCTCATAGGGAGTGGGGTCTGTGTTGTGGTTTGTTACCGCTAAATCATCAATGCCCATGTTCTTTTTTTTTTTTTGAAGCCACAATCTATTATAAATACTTTATTTCAACTTGAAGGTACAATCTCTGAGGGGTTTCATAGTTTAAAAAGCTACAATCACATCATGTAACTACATAAAAAAAACAGTGCTGTAAATGGGACTGCCTGGCTTAGACCATATACATTTCTGCACAGTCTTTATGGAATCTGCACACACAAAAAAATCTTCCTTTGTTCCACTTAATTGTTCTTGTATGTAAGCTGCTTTCTGTTCCAGTATATCCAGAGCGGTGAAATAATGAGGCCACCCACATAGCCAAAGGTCGCTCTGAGCGTGCAGGAGATGGGCCACACCTGCCATGGCCTTTCCCGATCGAGTGGAATAGGAAAGGCTCCAAGCGATGTTCCTAGAAAACTAGATATTGTGGTGATCTGGAGACTGTTCTCCCAAACGGACGTAACTCCATTTCTACTGAAAACTCTTAGCCATGCTTTGAGGTTTGGTCCTAACAAACACAAACAAGGTACTGTAGTAAAAGTAGACAAGATCACTGCAAATAAAAATGTTTCCAACACCAGCTCTATTAATGGTGCTCCATATAGAACAAAAATTACATGAAAGACAAAACAAGACAAATCTGGGTACCTTGTATGATAATGAACTTCTTTTACTGGATGCATTTGGTTTCACCACTAAATATAATACTAGATTGACGGCAGTTACAAAAACAGAACAGATGCACAACCACATCAAGTGTGTTTCCAATACTGAGAAGTTCTCCAAGAAGAATGATGGAATGAAGATGCTTAGGATAATTGAGAATATGCATAAAAGATGGGTATACAGTAGTCTCTTGATATCAGCATTTTTCATGGTGTTTCCTTGAGTGGCTGTCTAACTCTCCCGCCCACCGAACGGCCATTGCCCATGTTCTTGGTGCTCTCTATAAATATCTGTTGAATGAATTAAACCAGTTTGCTTTGGGGATGAAATGATATGCATTAATCTCAGTAGCATTTTTATTTCAAGAAAGGGTGTGACACTTTTACTCTGGGTTATGCAGGCTGAGTGTTTGTATTCCCAATATAAATTCCAGTTTGTCTTAACAGTCTAGTTGGGGTGACTGCCATTTGGCACGTGTGTAAACTCCTGAATACCAACAGCATGTCAGAACGTGCTCAAGACTTTTCTCAGGAGCCCCTCAATCGCCCCGCCAGTCGCCCCACAGATGAGCCCTGATCACCGCCCAGGCCTAGGGACCCTACCTGTGCATGAATTTCATGCACTGGGCCTCTAGTAAAAATAATAATTTTTAATACCTAGGTATTTTGAAATAACAATATTTTATTGGCCCTATTAAAAAGATATTAAATACTTATAAATAAGCAGAATTCTGTGGTCTGGACAAAATTTTTAATATTAAAACCGGTTTAAGTTTGATTAATGTCTTTTAGAGTTATTACCATAAAATATATGTTTTTTCCTAGATTTACAAAGAGTTTATGATATAATCTTTTGGTTAAGTATATTTGACAATCTTTCAGAAAGTTAAAATGTTACGACTTTAACCAAGAGATGACTTTGAGTCATTCCAATGGGCCCTGGAGTAACTCAAGGATTTATTCTCTCTTCTTAAAAGAAATATTTTTGAACTAAATTAGGCCGATTTAATATACTTGACATTACATGGGAAGCTTTGTCAAATAGAAATGAATAAATATGTTCTATTTATATATGCATATATTTTGTTTAAATGAATGTTATAGGAATTTCAGTCTCCTTCAGAAAGGAACTTGCAAAGATTCAGAACCAAGTTCACATAGGAAACTCTCAGGGGGGCGGGCATGTGTCCAGTCAGGGACACCAGGCAAGCCAAAGTGCTGGTTCCCTGTGGGGCGTCTGCCAGTGAGTGATACTCTGGGTATTTGCATTTCACATATTCGGAGTTTATGAATTATTTTCAATGCTCAATACACCGTTTGCAATAAGCCATGTGCCTCATTTTAAAAACTTACTTTATATGCTT